CTATTTAAATTTGTTCTCACACACAGTTGTTGATTTTGTAGTTTATGTAATTTAGGTACAGTTCCAAAGATCATTGTGACAGTTTTGTCAGTGTTTAGGAAGAGTGTGTTTACCACTATCCACTTGTTTACCTCTGCGAACTTGTCTTGGAGCACACCCTCAAGCTCCGGTAGATTGGGTTTAGTAGCGTAGATTACATACATGTGTCGTCTGCATACATGTGTACAGTTAAGGCTTTGCAGATGTTAGGCAGATCATTTATAAATAATGTGAATAGTGGGGGGCTGGATATGGAGCCTTGGGGAACACCACACGTGACCGGGAGAGGGAGGGAGGCACTATCAGAAATTGTCACATTGTTGCAATTGATCTGATAAATACAATCAAAACCAGGCAGGCGGCAAATCAATTTTTAAATTTCTGCAAAATAATTTCATGGTCTACCGTGTCAAAGGCCTTGGCAAAATAATGGAAAATGTAAAAACTTTACGTTAAACGGAAATGACGTATCGGCCTGAATACCGGAAGTCACGCAACCGGCAATAAGCATCCGGATAGCGTGGCCATTATGAGAAGGTCGACTTCTACAGACTATATGGGAAAAGGACTCCATTTTGGGAGGGAAGGAAAACAGGAACTCCCATATATGGTATTGAGGGGTGGGTTTTGTATTTTTATACATGTGTTTGGAATGTTTTAATTTTGTATTTGATATATAAGCAAGTTGCTGTCACATAACATTATTTCACCTGATGAAGAGTGGTCGAAACGCGTTGTGCCTGTTCAGTTTTTATTTCCAATAAAGTATTTTACTTTTAAAATTTATTTTGGTTCCTGATTGCATCCAGATGAAATTTGATATCAGTTTCTGGGGGACCATCTTTTATACAGCTTCTTTCCGGAAATACTCTCCATGCCTTTACAGTAGAGAGCCGACTTATATGGCTCTCTAAAGTGTGAGTGCTCCAAGTTACTTTTTATACTATATATTGGTTTTAACATATTGCCCTATGATAGCTGTTTATGTTACAGATCATATTATTGTTTCTTTTTGTATTGGAACTCCCGAAAGTTGACCGACCACTGCCTACTTTTATCTGGAACTAATTTGGCACGGACAACTTGGGCGCTCAGATCCAGGCTATATGGGGATATACAATTTGTGGGGGTTCCTATTGATATGTATGTATTTTGGGGTGTTTTGTGTCATATTTTCTACCTCTAGTTCCTGGGAGATAATTAGTTTAAGCCAAAGCAAACTCACTTATCTCCCAGACACAGAGATGGGTCTGTGTATATAAACAAGCAACTTGGCCCTAATAAAACATGTTGTACCCTTCAAAGCTTGACTGATGTTTATGTATGTAACGGCCACCCTACTAGTGGAGGGGTTTCCGCCGTCAGAGATGTCCTTTCCTCCTAGAGTAGAGAGTACCAAAGTATTCCCAACCATCAATCCAAGCAGTGAAGAGTAGGCATAGCTGTGAAGCTCTTATAAGAGCTAATGATATAGCAGGTATAGTAGGTCTCTATGTTGAGGGTAAAGCAGGAATTCAATTTTAATGGTGCCACACTGGCCTTTTATGACAATCCCCATGCAAGGGGTATGCCCACATGGACCTTGTTGGGGACGGGACACAAACTTGTAAACCAATAACAATAGAGTTACAATCTAAGGCACTCCCACACATGGCATACAATCCCTCCCCTTTGCTTGGGAGATAATTTAGTTAATTACTGTATCGACTCTGTTCACATGAACGCCACTTACCAGATACAGAAGGAAGAACTTCATGTGTACGAACGAGACCTATGTTCATGCGAATGCTACTCTCCTACACTGGAGACAGAACTCCGTTCGCACGGACGTTGGCTCCTGAACAGGGCAAAAACAGAAGTCAGCTGCTGCTGAAAAGGCTGCTGCTTCCATGTGCGACCACAATGAACGAAGAACTTCAGGAGAATCAAAGAGTGCACGTGCGCCAACACAGAGCCTTTTAAAGGTACAAGAGATGGAGACTAAAGTGGAACCTCAATTGACAAGACCACCCACTTTCCCTATTTAAGTCGCACACACCCTTCACTCTTCGCTCAGTTATACTGTGCTCCTGATTGTGTAAAGACCTTCAGAGACTCTCCTGTTGCATCCTGATCCTGACCCTTACCTGTATCATCGCTTCTGAACTTGTGCTGCCTGTTCTGATCTTTGGCTTCCCCGATGTATTTGTAATATTGTTAAGCGAGCAAAGCAGGAAGGGGAATTAGATGTACCTGTCCATTGTCTAATGACTTGGCTTGCAATGAGGTTTCAGAGGTAAAGGAAGTATTTTTGTGTTTTTGCCAATGATCTAAGGCAGGTTGCTTCCACACTGTCCTTCTCTAAAGTTCTGCCTGTTCATAACACTCAGAACGAAAGGCAGATGCGTATTAGGGACTTTAACTTGTGGCTTGGTGAATGGTGTCAGGAGCAAGGATTTGGCTTTATTTCTCATGGTAGCTCTGTTTGGAATGGAAATAAACTGTACAAAAAAGATGGTTTGCATCTTTCTCAAAAGGGAACAAATGTTCTCAGTGAGCAGTTCAGAGGTTTTGCTAGGATGTATTTAAACTAGGAGAGGGGGGGGGGGAAGGTTGATAAAACATCAATCCAATTGCCCCCCCAAAAAAGGACAGAAGGTGCCTGTAGAAAGTGTGTTAAATGATAAGCTTAGAGTTATGTCTACAAATGCTCGCAGTTTAGGGAATAAGATCCCAATAGTCTGATATGCTTCAGATATGTTCTCTCTGTAATGGCACAAGTTGAGCTAAGACCAGCTTGAGATCTGAGTGGGGACCCACCAAAGGGCAGGCTGATTGAGCTGTTGTCCGTTCTCACCTCTCGTGCTACTTGTTTTTCTCTCATCAAGGCTGTTAAGAATTATTTAGGGTAAGGTTAGAGTTGGATTAAATTTTGTATTGAGGCATGTGAGGAGTTTACTTGTTAAGTGGAGTTAAACAAAGGAATAAGGTAAAGGGTTTATTTTCAGGTTTAGACTTTGAGTGCTGTAGTTTGAAGGGTTATTTGCAAAGTTCTCGCCCGTCTATGACTTCTGTAAACCAGTCCGTTTTCTATGATTGATTATATTAGAGCAGCAGTAGTTATATAGTGTGCATCACAGAGATCTTCCCCTGCTCCTCCTGCAAGGCATTTCCTGTGTGAGAAGTTACAAGTGGGCAGATGAAAAGTGATCTCTTCCTGTCCAGGGACAGTACAAAGTTTTACACCCTCTAAACCTATTCCTGTAGCACAAACAACACTGACAAAGACTCCTGATACTTACCTCTCCCTACCTGCCTATTTAAACTCAAAAAGGCACATTATAAGTGCTGAGAACCATGGTGGTGCCTACTCTGTCTAGTAGGAAATAGGTCCATGCCTGTCTGACAGAGTGCAAAAATCATATATGTCCCCCAAAACCATGGCAGTCTGTAAGCCCTACCCACTGAAATTGATAACTACACCTCCCTACACACTCTGATTGGGTGATCTGGCTTTAACGGGTTTGTAACAGAACCGCTGGCACCCCGACCGGGTACCTTCCGCCGACGGATGCTCCTAGTGCTTTCCGAGCCCCCCCTGCACTCTGCCTGACACCATAACCACTGCAGACCCCACGAACCGCCGCAGCTTGGTTGGGATCTCGCCGTCTCCACCCACTCTGGACCCAGGACCAGGGTCCAGCTTCCAGCAGGTCGACCTCTCTCCGAATTCCAGAGAGCAGGAACAGGAACAAGCTCTTAGCAGAGCTTAGTGATTATACCCTGGGGAGTATAGTGATTATAGAAACTTCATGAAGGTACAAGATGATCTGACTCCAATGAGCGTTTATTACTCCTTATATACAAGTTTTCAGGTCAGAGGCACACCCCCTGGACCTGGTGGTAAACTGTGACAAAAGGGACACAAACCAATGGGAACACTAATTAACATGATAACACTCTCACATACACAATGAAATCCCTCCTCTCCATCCTGGAGATAATTGGCTTAAGGCACTGCAGTAAACTCAATTATCTCCAGGTACAGAAAATATCTACATTTAACACTAACAGCAAAATACGTAAAAGTACATAAAAATACATAATTCTTATTTTATTACACAGAACCCCCACATTTAACCTATCCCCAGATAGCTCGGATCTGAGCGCCCAATCTAGGTGAACAGCGCTCAGATCCCATGAACAGAGTAGATTTTCCATGGGGTAAAACATAGCAAGGGCTGTTGAGAAACCGAGGGACAAAAGCAGTCAGTTCCAACTGGTTTGGCAGTGTGCCTGGGACAACGCCCTGCTGGAGACCAATAGACAGGAAACGGGGGAGGGGAAGAAACACACCTTCCCATGGATTCAAATGGGAAGAACTGTCTTTAGAAGCCAATAAGCCCCAAATAGTCTTTTTAAATGGCAATACACCCCAGGGCCATAGTCACGAGGAAGGAGGCTGGCAATCAGGCTCCTCCAAAAGCCGGGGGCAAAGGGCAGCTTGTCACCTAACAATCCAGGGACAAAAGGCATTTCGTCACAGGGTTGAAGGAGTTGATACTGTGAAAAAGGCAACCACCCTATAACACATCTCACCACCAAATCCAATGTGGACATTCAGGGCAGTGGTGGGTATGGGTACACAGAAACGTGATTTGCAACCAAAACTGAGAAATATGAACAAACCACAAAATATTCAGCTCCACACAAAGAGCTTTATCTTTACCCAGGGCCACCTTCAGCGTAGTACAGTCAGCGCTGCTGTAAGTCCCACACAAGCTCTTTCAGATTCTGAGGTCATGTTTATTATTAGAAGTATCTCCGCAACCAGCTTGTATGGAGGAATTCTAGCAGAGTTACAAGACCATGGTCAGCATCTCGAACCCCAGGGGCAAGATGGGAAGATGTGATGTATTATCACACTATCAATGAATTTTTATGGTGAAAAAATAAAAATCAATTTTCCCGATATTTTCTAGGAATCATTGCAAAAAGATATATACAAATATAATGATAAAGATTGCATTTATTTGTGAATATACTTCAGTAGTGTCTTAAATCAACTATACTGTATATATCTCTAGGCACTTGATAAAGACAAGAGTCTTCATCACGTTATGAAAGTAATAGTTGGTTAGGTGTGCCATTACAGCAGCCTGAGGCTACATGTTAGAAGAAATAAGATGGCAATGGACAACAACATGTTAAATTAATTCAGAGAGAAAATGGACGTGCTTCATCGATGGAGAAAATATACAAACTACCAACTGCTTGTCATTGGAGAACCATGACAAACACTGTGCCCACTTGAGTGACAGCTGAATACAACTCCAATGCTTCATGAATAAGAACTAAATGGGAAAAGTATAACTGATGTTGGAACGTTCCCTCCCCATGGAATGAAGACATGTAAGGAAGTACTTGTTACATGTTTGATAGTTTAAAATTAATAACACATACTCCAACTGAATATAAAGCTTTATTTAAATACATTCTAAATCACTGGAAAGATTATCTGATTCAAAATGTAGATCATTAAATTAATTAGATTACATGTCTGTGAAAACATTTCCTAGATTCCAAAGAGAAAAGTTTCTTTCCAAGGTAACAAATACTTAACACAGTCCCCTTGTGACGGAACGCTGTCACTGAGTACCATGCCCACATGTGCCTACTCGCTTGCCTGCTTATTGTTTTCAGGTCCCCATGCTGGGGATCTCCTCATCTGCTCCTACAGGAGCTATAATCACTGTCAGGAGGAGATCCAGGAGCCTCATGCCTGCACCCAGACTGTCTATGGCAGAACTACTACTTATTTGTAAGACTGTGCTTGTCCCATTCTAAACATGATCAAAATGAGGCTTGAGTATTAATCTGTGGATAGGTACTAAAGGGACACTATAGTCACGAAAACAACTATAGCTTAATGAAGCAGTCTGTGTGTATAGATCATGCCTCTGAAGTTTCACTGCTCTATCTACTGCCATTTAAGAGTTAAATCACTTGTTTCAATTTATGCAGCCCTAGCCGCACCTCCCAAGGCTGTGACTGAAAGAGCCTGCATGTAAACAAAATGGTTTCATTTTCAATCAGATGTAACTTACTTTAAACATGTTTTTCTCCTGCTCTGTAAATTGAACTTAAATTACATACAGGAGGCTCCGGCAGGATCTAGAAAGCCATTAACAGAGCAGGAGATGTGAAATTATAAATTAAACATAATTTACAATAAAGGAAGTATAAACATTAGATGACTTCCTACAGGACGTGTTTAGGAAGGCTGTGTAAGTCACATACTGGGAGGTGTGATTAGGGCTGCATAAACAAAGTGATTTAACTGCTAAATAGTAGACAATTGAGCAAAGAGACTGCAGGGATATGATCTACACACCAAAACTACTTCATTAAGCTAAAGTTGTTTAGTGCCTATAGTGTCCTTTTAATGTCTCTTTTGGATAGGATACTGAAACACAAGGCTTGCTGAGGGGGGGTCACAGCTTCAAAGAGGAATTTGGGCTGTAAGCTCTGATCTCTCACACAATCCAATTAACCCTTTTTGGAATTGACAATATCACCTCTACCAGGCTGCCAGTTCATATATGCATTACACAAATTACATAAAATGTAATATAGTGCAACAATGACATATTAAAATGTGTTTTGGGGGTGTTTGGATTATTGTAGATTCTTCTGTACCTGAGAGATAATTAAAGAGTTTTTCTCACGCAATTATCTCTCAGACACAGAGTATTTGGGGTTTGAAACCAGTGGCATACCTACCACGGTCGCAGCTGCGAGCGGCCCCTCACTGCAGGGGGCCCGGCCACAGCCCTTGCGACCGTGAGCCGCGTAGATCCCGCCCCCTGTCATGGGGAGGAGGGGGGCCATGAGGTGGTCTGCTGGCTACCTCATGGACCCCCCGCCCCATCGTCGGCTGAGTTCCTGTCAGACGCGGCGAGGGAGCTGTGATCTCTCTGCTCTGCTCCCTCGCGCACCGTTTGCTGATGCCGGGAGCCAGAATATGACGTCATATTCCGGCTCCCGGCATCAGCAAACGGTGCGTGAGGGAGCAGAGCAGAGAGATCACAGCTCCCTCACTGCGTCTGACAGGAACTCAGCCGCCCGCCGCACTGAAGCCCCACTGGACCCCAGGGGCAGATCCATGCCAGCTCTCCAGGCAGGGAGGCTCGGTGGACATTTAATATTAATAATTTGTGTGTGTCTGAATGTGTGAGTGTATGTGTGTGTCTGTGAGTGTGTTTGAATGTGTGTGTGTGTGAGAGTATGTGTGTGTCTGTTAGTGCGTGTGTGTCTCTCTACATGTCTATGTATGTGTCTGCATGTGCATCTGTTTGTCTGTATGTGTGTGGGGGGGAAATCGGGGACGTGTGGGGGGGATGGGGAAGTATGAGCTTAGAGGTAGATGTATGGGGGAAATTTTCGCACAGGGGCCCCGTGGTTTCTAGTTACCCCTCTGTTTGAAACCCCTATTGTGTTGTAAAACCCCTGTAGGGGTCTGTGCATAAAAGCTATGTGTGAACAAATAAACCTCAGTTCAGTTGTACTCCCAGAAATGTGTATCGTCCAGTTACTGGGGAGGAGGTGGGATATTCTTTTGGTGTTTTTCTTGTGCCTGATTGTACTTTGAAGAGTCCCTGCTAGGACTAGGGCTCCGCTACATCCCTGTTTGACATTAACCACATTCTGAGCTAGAGAATGGTTTCTCTATTCTGTGAACTTTGTGATGCGAGACAAGTTGAGACTTTACCTTAAAACGTTTCCCACATACAGAACAAGCAAACGGTTTTTCTCCAGTATGAATTCGCTGATGTATCTTAAGATCTGATTTGTGCAGGAAGTCTTTCCTGCACACAGAACATGAAAATGGCTTCTCACCAGTGTGAATCTTTTGATGATTAACCAAGACTGACTTCTGAGAAAAACATTTACCGCATTCAGAGCAAGCAAATGGTTTTTCTCCAGTGTGAGCTCTCTGGTGTATGAGAAGATCAGATCTGTGAATGAAACGACTATCGCACTCCAGGCATTGGAAGGGTTTCTCTCCCGTGTGAGTTTTTTGATGTCTAATGAGGTTTGACTTCTGAGTGAAGTATTTCCTGCATTCGGAGCAGGAAAATGGCTTTTCACCTGTGTGACTTCTCTGATGTAGAAGAAGGTTCCATTTTTGAACAAAGGATTTCCCACAGTCAATGCACGAATAGGGTTTCTCCCCTGAGTGAATTATCTGGTGTCTACTCAACTGCGATTTAAAAGAGAATTTTTTTCCACATTCAGAACAAGATAGTTTCTTTCCTTTATGAACAACTTGATGTTTCCTGAAATCCACATTACTAGTAAAGCAAACCTCAGGACAGTTATACATGCTGTCTGTCCTCAAGTGTGCAGCATAAATTAAATTATTATTATAATTTGCATTAACATCATTGTCTTGAATTATAGACAGAATGCTATTTTCATCCTTTGAAGTACTGTTATACACATCAATAGGTAACGGTGTGTGTTCTGTGATTTTATGACATTCCACCTCTGTGATGTTCAGTTGTTCGCTGGACAATGATTCCTGGTTAATATGTGTCTGTGAATGCTCCGTGAGAGAATATATGTCAATATTTGTGAGATTCCCCTTTTCATATGAGGTCAATTCCTCATTGATAGTAAATGTATATACTTTTGGAGTATTTTTTATCTGTGTATAAATGTCTCTGAGATTTTCTTCTTCACATGAAGTTGGTTCCTCCTTTATTTGGGTAGATGGATATTCTGTCTGTGTTGTGGGTGTGTAAATGTCAGTGCCTGTGAGATTTCCTTCTTCACATGATGACGACTCGTCTTTAATATAAGTAGATAGATATTCTGTCTGTGTGTGTTCCGTGGGTGTGTACATGTCTGTGTCTGTGAGATTTCCTTCTTCACATGATGATAAATCATCTTTAAGATGAGTAGATGGATATTCCGTCTGTATATGGTCTGATGACGTATAAATGTCAATATCTGTAAAATTGTCTTTGACGAGATGGCCTGATGGGTCAGAAACATCCCTCTCACAATTCTCTGAGCCTGAATTATAAATTGTAGATGAATTACATTCAGATATACTTTTTTCTTTGTTTAGATTAGATGGTGATGAAATACGAGTTTGAAATGTTATAGAAGTCGTCTTGACTTTAGACAAATCTGTTGGAAATGAATGTAACAATGATTAGCATAAATGCTCCATATCAAATCATTACTGTTGGTATTGTATAAGAAAATATTAACATTTTTGTCCTTTAGATATTGAATAGAATGTTTACCTACCATATAGGCAAATCACAAACCCTGGTAAATAATGAACAGGTATCATATGCCGTACAAGATTTTGAACAGGCACAAGGAAGCATACTGTCCCTATGACGTATTTGAGTGAGGGAGTGGAATTAGAAGTGTGAGTATTTTTGTTAGTAACAAGCCAACTTGTGCAGGAAAATATTTACAGGGAACATAAATAGACCATAACCTATAAATGCACAACAGGTTCGTTTGGTGCTTGGAGTGTCCCTTTAAATACTGCCATTATATTTTACAGACATTTTACATTTAACAGTTTTGCACATTCATTTCAGTAATTAACTATAAAATGCTGTTCTGAAGACTTATAGGACTTCTTAACATGTTGCAAATGTATTTCTGCAAACTAATGTATAATAATAGATCATATGCGCATTCTTAAAGTGGCATCAATAGAACTTTAATGCATTTGACCTTTTGGCCTCATTCATGTGCTGAATTTTTGCATTAACCCTCTGACAGCGTAATATTTTTCTCAAATTTGGTTAAAAAAAAAAAAAATATGTTCTTTTTCTTTGCCAGCAGGGTTAGTGAGAACGGGAAAATAACTATCACTGCAAAGAAACATAAATAAGCGAGAGAATCGCGGAATGCTTAAAATTATACCAGTAAGTGCTGCATACGGAAATGCGGGATACCCAGTCAGAGGGTTAAAAAAACAAATTGTAGAATGCTGGAGCATTAGCGTGTCTCTTCAGCCACACCCCCTCACTCCATAAAAAGGACTTTCTTATTGTGACGAACTGAACCCCGTCACAGGTTCTTGGAGGGGCCTGCTGGCCAGCCTCTTGCCTTAGGACTATGGACCCTGCTATATAACTTGCCCAATGCACTTGAAAAGGCTCTGTTCATGTGAGTTATGTACTTTTGTACTCCAGACAGAGATGTAACTTTTGTGGAGGTTTTGTGTGTTTTAATGTATTTTGGGGGGTTTGTAAAAATGTATGTTTTTTCTGTGCTTGGAGATAACTGGATTAGATTAGTCCAGTTCCTGATCCAATTATCTCCCAGGCACAGAGGAGGGATTATCTGATTTTGTATGGCAGTGTCCTGGACCTGAGAGCCAATGTAATGGTGTATGTTTTTACTGTAGTCATCTCTCAGGTCCAGGGGGGAGTGCCCCTTGCATGGAGACTGTCATAAAAGGCCAGCTGTGGCTACCATTAAACTGAAATTCGTTTTACCCTTCATGAAGTCTAGGCTCATGTTTGGGGGTTTGGAGAGCTATATTCACGCTGGGGATTGCTATAATCACTATACTGCCTTGGATTACAACGATTGCTCTTGTAAGAGCAGCCTGCCTCACTCCCTGGACTAGGAGAGGTCTACCCACTGGAAGCTGGATCCTGGTCTTGGGTTCAGGGTAGGTGGAGTACAGCGAGACCCCAACCAAGCTGCGGCAGTTCGTGGGGGTTACGGTGGTTATGGTGCTCCAGTGCGGTGCTTATGGTACTTGCAAGTACTAGGAAACAGCGATTGACAGAGGTACTCGGTCTGGGTGCCAGGCGGTCCGTCACACACTTAAACACAATTCAGCCACTGACAGTACTGAATAATTTCAACTACAAAGCAACCTGCATTAGAAGGACAGGACACCTATGGAGATGTATAGTAAGGATATCACTACGGGTTTGTAGTTTCTCTGACTGTCTGCAGCCAGGTTGTTTATTAAAAGCAGCTCACTTCTAGCATGGGGGAGCGTGGCTAAGGAGGCTTATGTGCAGCTTGATGAAAAAATTATTTTGTACAAAAGCTATAAATATTTGAACATGCAAAAAATATAGCATTTTAACCCCTTAAGGACACATGACATGTCATGATTCCCTTTTATTCCAGAAGTTTGGTCCTTAAGGGGTTAATGACCCCTAAATCTATCAAATGTAGTTAAATTGTACTAATGCCTGGATGGTCCCTTTAAGGACATCTTTCTTCCTGACCCCATTTGCTCTGTGAACACAAAAAGTACAAATAAATAAAACTGTAAATTATTATGGACTTCTTCATCCCTACATTTACCAGAATCTTGTTTGTAAAAATGTAATTTAATGTAGAAAATCCTATTGCTGTAGTTTCCTGTATTCTGGATCTCGATGTCTCCATCTTGGCTCACAGTCAGTCTTTACACCTGTCAGTCAGCAGAGAGAAAGGCGGAGAAACCAATATAATGGGTTTATGTATAACAAGTGTCGTGCTCTGAAAAGTGCGCAAATCACCATGGAAACGAGCAACGAACAATCTATTGATGACGCCACCTCTTTTCATATCACAAACCTTTGAAACGAAACCCATCTCTACTCTCCCAGTGTATTGTGTGCCCTGTCTGAAGACTGACCTGAATTGTTACGACAGTTACTTATTCTTACAAGAAAACTGAGCATCACCTGAAAGGAAGGCATATTACAGGAAAATTTCAATTTATATTTTTTCTCAACAGTGTGACAAACAATGGACAGTTCTGTTTTAAACCATGTAATGCTCAATTATACAAACAGTGTCTGAAAACTAAACCTTCTTGGAAGTCAGTCACAACAGCTATCCCTCACATGTACACTTCGTATTCATCAAGGTATCCACAGGACAGACACCCAGCACCAACAACATCACAGAGAGCACACACACGACGACATGTAATCATCAGAATATTAGTTATTCCATGAAATTCATATTATTAAATCCTCTTACCCAGTGAGCTGACTGGCTGGCGGTTCTCCAATATCACATCACTGTGAGATTCCTTGTGTCCATCTAAATACTGCCAAACCTACAGGGAAACAAAGATGATGACGTCCTCACACCTTATACAAACACACAGTGATACAGTCACCATCCAGACACATCCGTTGGTTTTACTCCATGAAGTCCCATTCCCAGCAGCCTCACCTCTCCAGTCAGCAGGTGGATGATCTTATTGGTCAATTCCAGGATCTTCTGCTCATTGTTTCTCATTTGTAGCAGTGAGCGAGGTGGAGGCACGGTGCTGTGAGATCCTTCTAACACACAGTCACTGGATTTCTTCACAACCACATGATCCTAAACAACAGGAGAAACATAACTAGGACACAGCGTCTCACTGCTTACACGCACATCTCACTGAACAGTGAGGCCTCTCCTCTCCACAACTAATTTAATACGTGCACATAAATGTCTGGATCCCTACTCTTGGTAAGGACCATCAGAGCATTGAATACAGTAGTGCAATGATCACAACAGAGAACACCAACTTTGACAGCACAGGCAAGGCAGTTTGGACAGACACTTTAACCCCTTAAGGACACATGACATGTGACATGTCATGATTCCCTTTTATTCCAGAAGTTTGGTCCTTAAGGGGTTAACAAGCTACAAAAAACGTTTGTGCTAGACGCGAAATGCGTCCAGTGTCCCTTTAGAATTATTTTTGGGGGTTTTTTTCCCCCACCTTCCTTCTTACAGGTGTATGGACTTATTTTTATATTAGGTTTTTCTAGCATGTATGGGATCTCTCTTTTTAGCTATGTTTTCGTAATTCACTATTAAACTTGTACTTGCTTGGATATGCTATAGGGATTTTTTCAGATTTGCTTAGAGTGCAAGATGACAGAGCTCCTGTACTCCGACTGAATACCTCCACTAAGTCCGCTTCCTAGCCGCCTGCAGGGACCCTGGAAAGCTTCAGCCCAAGGCGCCGAAGCTTGACTGGGGTCCTTCTGGAGATTTTCCATCCAACCAGGCTGCAGCTATCCTTCCAGCCAGGTGTCATCCTCTCTGCCTCAAACACTTAAACCCTTCTTCCAGGAAGGTATCGTCCCCTCTGCATCTTCCGCAGCAGCCCTTCTTCCAGGCAGGTATCGTCCCCTTTCCCTTTTCTGCAGCAGTCCTTCTTCCAGGCAGGTATCGTCCTCTCTGCCTCTTCCGCCCAAGCCCTTCTTCCAGGCAGGTATAGTTCCCTTTGCCTCCGCCCTTCTTCCAGGCAGATATAGTCTCCTCTGCCTCTTCCGCTGCAGCCCTTCTTCAAGGCGGGTATAGTCTCCTCTGCCTCCTCCGTCCCAGCCCTTCTTCCAGGCGGGTATAGTTCCCGCTGCCTCCTCCGCCCCAGCCCTTCTTCCAGGCGGGTATAGTCCCCTCTGCCTCTTCTGCCCTTCTTCCAGGCGGGTATAGTCCCCTCTGCCTCTTCCGCCCTTCTTCCAGGCAGGTATAGTCCCCTCTGCCTCTTCCGCCCTTCTTCCAGGCAGGTATAGTCCCCTCTGCCTCTTCCGCCCTTCTTCCAGGCAGGTATAGTCCCCTCTGCCTCTTCCGCCCTTATTCCAGGCAGGTATAGTCCCCTCTGCCTCCTCCGCCCTTCTTCCAGGCAGGTATATAGTCCCCTCTGCCTCCTCCGCCCTTCTTCCAGGCAGGTATATAGTCCCCTCTGCCTCCTCCCAGGCAGGTATATAGTCCCCTCTGCCTACTCCGCCCTTCTTCCAGGCAGGTATAGTCCCCTCTGCCTCCTCCGCCCTTCTTCCAGGCAGGTATAGTCCCCTCTGCCTCCTCCGCCCTTCTTCCAGGCAGGTATAGTTCCCTCTGCCTCCTCCGCCCTTCTTCCAGGCAGGTATAGTTCCCTCTGCCTCCTCCGCCCCAGCCCTTCTTCCAGGCGGGTATAGTCCCCTCTGCCTCCTTGGCCCTTCTTCCAGGCAGGTATAGTTCCCTCTGTCTCCTCCACTGCTGCACTTCTTCCAGGCATTTAAGGTTTATAGCTAGTCTTTAAAAAGACACTTGCGGCTCTCAGGCCTAGCACTCTTGCTTTATCCCAGGGCTAGAGGGATCCTGCAATGAGCAAACAGGTCTGAAGACTCACTGGGATCCCTACAAATCCACCCAGGACACAAGTTCCAAAGGGACTGACATCCAAAACTTGTTTTTCTCGTCACTAGCCCATAGACTCATTTCAAGATAAAAAATAACCAAATCATAGCAGATAACATACAGCAACTTAGTATAACCCAATGAGCTATTTATAAGGGGGTGAGGAAGACAATTAACACAAAATAGCTCTCCTGTCTGCAGAATTAGCAATATCCAAATCTACCCAAATATGAAAATTAACCAGCCTTGCTATTCAGGTGCATATTGCTGTTGCTACCAACAGAGGGCACTTTACAGGCTCCAGAGCCAAATCCACTAGTTGATAACAAGCATCAGCAGGTCAGAAGAGCACGCAAAAAAATTATAAATACATAATAGACATATATTACACACACCTTGCACCTATATTGGGCACAGGGTGACAGACATGGGAGACATTTACATAGAATGTGACGGCAGATAAGAACCATTCAGCCCATCTAGTCTGCTCAATTTTCTAAATCCTTTCATTAGACCCTGGCCTTATCTTATAGTTAGGATAGCCTTATGCCTATCCCACGCATGCTTAAACTCCTTTACTGTGTTAACCTCTACCACTTCAGCTGGAAGGCTATTCCATGCATCCACTACCCTCTCAGTAAAGTAATACTTCCTGATATTATTTTAAAATATCTGACCCTCTAATTTAAGACTATGTCCTCTTGTTCTGGTAGTTTTTCTTCTTTTAAATATGGTCTCCTCCTTTAAGGAACCATTGTAAAGTGTCCTGCTCCCAGTGATGGTGACTATCGTCACATGCAATTTTCTACTGTGTGAATAAATTACAGGTTCATATTACCCAGAATCCCTCACCTCTCCTGTCAGCAGGTAGATGATCTCCATAATGACATTACCCAGAATCCCTCACCTCTCCAGTCAGCAGGTAGATGATCTCCATACTGACATTACCCAGAATCCCTCACCTCTCCAGTCAGCAGGTAGATGATCTCCATACTGACATTACCCAGAATCCCTCACCTCTCCAGTCAGCAGGTAGATGATCTCCATACTGACATTACCCAGAATCCCTCACCTCTCCAGTCAGCAGGTAGATGATCTCCATATTGACATTACCCAGAATCCCTCACCTCTCCAGTCAGCAGGTAGATGATCTCCATACTGACATTACCCAGAATCCCTCACCTCTCCAGTCAGCAGGTAGATGATCTCCATAATGACATTACCCAGAATCCCTCACCTCTCCAGCCAGCAGGTAGATGATCTCCATAATGACATTACCCAGAATCCCTCACCTCTCCAGTCAGCAGGTAGATGATCTCCATAATGACATTACCCAGAATCCCTCACCTCTCCAGTCAGCAGGTAGATGATCTCCATAATGACATTACCCAGAATCCCTCACCTCTCCAGCCAGCAGGTAGATGATCTCCATACTGACATTACCCAGAATCCCTCACCTCTCCAGTCAGCAGGTAGATGATCTCCATACTGACATTACCCAGAATCCCTCACCTCTCCAGTCAGCAGGTAGATGATCTCCATACTGACATTACCCAGAATCCCTCACCTCTCCAGTCAGCAGGTAGATGATCTCCATAATGACATTACCCAGAATCCCTCACCTCTCCAGTCAGCAGGTAGATGATCTCCATACTGACATTACCCAGAATCCCTCACCTCTCCAGTCAGCAGGTAGATGATCTCCAGGCTGACATTACCCAGAATCCCTCACCTCTCCAGTCAGCAGGTAGACGATCTCCATAATGACATTACCCAGAATCCCTCACCTCTCCAGTCAGCAGGTAGATGATCTCCATAATGACATTACCCAGAATCCCTCACCTCTCCAGTCAGCAGGTAGATGATCTCCATACTGACATTACCCAGAATCCCTCACCTCTCCAGTCATCAGATAGATGATCTCCATAATGGCATTACCCAGAATCCCTCACCTCTCCAGCCAGCAGGTAGATGATCTCCATACTGACATTACCCAGAATCCCTCACCTCTCCAGCCAGCAGGTAGATAATCTCCATAATGACATTACCCAGAATCCCTCACCTCTCCAGTCAGCAGGTAGATGATCTCCATGGTGACATTACCCAGAATCCCTCACCTCTCCAGTCAGCAGGTAGATGATCTCCATACTGACATTACCCAGAATCCCTCACCTATCCAGTCAGCAGGTAGATGATCTCCATAATGACATTACCCAGAATCCCTCACCTCTCCAGTCAGCAGGTAGATGATCTCCATAATGACATTACCCAGAATCCCTCACCTCTCCAGCCAGCATGTAGATGATCTCCATACTGACATAACCCAGAATCCCTCACCTCTCCAGTCAGCAGGTAGATGATCTCCATAATGACATTACCCAGAATCCCTCACCTCTCCAGTCAGCAGGTAGATGATCTCCATAATGACATTACCCAGAATCCCTCACCTCTCCAGTCAGCAGGTAGATGATCTACATAATGACATTACCCAGAATCCCTCACCTCTCCAGTCAGCAGGTAGATGATCTCCATGGTGACATTACCCAGAATCCCTCACCTCTCCAGTCAGCAGGTAGATGATCTCCATAATGACATTACCCAGAATCCCTCACCTCTCCAGTCAGCAGGTAGATGATCTCCATAATGACATTACCCAGAATCCCTCACCTCTCCAGCCAGCGGGTAGATGATCTCCATAATGACATTACCCAGAATCCCTCACCTCTCCAGTCAGCAGGTAGATGATCTCCATAATGACATTACCCAGAATCCCTCACCTCTCCAGTCAACAGGTAGATGATCTCCATAATGACATTACCCAGAATCCCTCACCTCTCCAGTCAGCAGGTAGATGATCTCCATAATGACATTACCCAGAATCCCTCACCTCTCCAGTCAGCAGGTAGATGATCTCCATAATGACATTACCCAGAATCCCTCACCTCTCCAGCCAGCAGGTAGATGATCTCCATAATGACATTACCCAGAATCCCTCACCTCTCCAGTCAGCAGGTAGATGATCTCCTTACTGACATTACCCAGAATCCCTCACCTCCCCAGCCAGCAGGTAGATGATCTCCATAATGACATTACCCAGAATCCCTCACCTCTCCGGTCAGCAGGTAGATGATCTCCAAACTGACATTACCCAGAATCCCTCACCTCTCCAGTCAGCAGGTAGATGATCTCCATACTGACATTACCCAGAATCCCTCCTCTCAGCCAGCTTGGGTAGATGATCTCCATAATGACATTACCCAGAATCCCTCCCCACCTCTCCGGCCAGCTGGTGGATGATCTCCATGTGGCATTACCCAGAGATCCCTCACCTCTCAGTCCAACTGGTGGTGATCTCGTAGGTGACGTGTCTGGTCCTCACTTTCCACGATCCCTGAGCCAGGTGGATCTCCAGACTGACGGTAGAATCCCTCACCTCTCCAGTCAGCAGGTAGAGGATCTCCATAATGACATTACCCAGAATCCCTCACCTCTCCAGTCAGCAGGTAGATGATCTCCATGGTGACATTACCCAGAATCCCTCACTTCTCCAGTCAGCAGGTAGATGATCTCCATAATGACATTACCCAGAATCCCTCACCTCTCCAGTCAGCAGGTAGACGATCTCCATACTGACATTACCCAGAATCCCTCACCTCTCCAGTCAGCAGGTAGATGATCTCCAGGGTGAATTCAGAGATCCTCTCAGCCACTTTATTCTTGTCTTTGTTCATTATCACAGTTACTATGATTCCTTGAGGAAGGAATTATCCTTGTAATGATCTCTGTAATAAATTAGATATACTGAATTACTTATTTATAGCAAAACTATACATCTGTCAGCATCACCAAGCAACGTGCATCTATTAATCATGAAGATCCTGCTGATTTGTTGTCAAACAAAATTTATATTTATGAAAATAGTAATGTGACAGAACCATCTGTCTGTCTATTGTGGTGGATTCGTCTATTTCTGCCCCTTTCGTGTAAATGGCTGTTTTCTATAGCCCAGCCATACGAATGACTGTTTTCACCGAACGGATGGCCACCCAGGATAGAAGTGTGCTGCTGGTTAACCTATTGATCCCAATTAGAACGTTGTGGTTAACCGCAGACACTTCTCGATTAAACCGAATTCAGGGTGGCCATCGTTCGTATGTTGACCACGAGGCAGCGGCCATTTTAAAACACACGAAAGCCCAGCGGTGTTCGGCTCTGATTTCATGGAACTCAAAACGGACGCTCTTTCTGCCGAACACCGCTTCGCCTGGCTGTCTCGACGAAAGCGTACGAACACCGGCCGTTCGGGAGTTTTACAACATACGAAAAGACTTAACCCAGATAGCCTTCCCATGGAGTCAATCGCATACCGAAAGACTGTAAGGACTTTGACTCCATGGCGATTGAACTATGCGTATGGGATCTGAGCGCTATTCGCCAATAATATGCCCTCAGATCCAGGCTATCTGGGGATATGTGATGTGAATGTAAAATGTTCGGTTATTATAAAGTTATGTATTTTTATGCATTTTCTGGTTTTGTATTTAAAATGGCGATGTGTCTTTGTCCTGGAGATAATTGAATTACTTCCCAATTATCTCCAGGGCAGAGGGGAGGGAACCATACTGCATTGTGGGAAAAGCCTGTGACTGTATGTCTGATATGTCCTACTGTACATCTGTAATTCCAGTCTCCCATTTGGTCCCCTAGGGGAGTGTCCGCCAAGTGGGAGACCTGCATAAATACGGGCAGGTAGCCCACAGTTAAGACAAATCCTGTTTGACCCTCAATGCGGAGCTTTGTCTCGTTATTGGGGGGTATTTACTATTGATGCCTAGAGACTGATTATGGGAACCGAAATCCGCTTGGTGTATACTTTTGTTTGGTAGTTAGCAGCGGTTCGTGGAAATCTGTTCGGGAGTTTGGAGCCTTTCACGGATCCTGGTCGGGAGATTACCGCTTCCCCTGATGGTGGTTCGTATACTGCAGTTATGTGAACGGAGTACTGATATTGCGAAAGGGGAAGGTGAACTAAACGGCGGTTTCTCTTAAAGACACCAGGGGTGTCTTAACAAGTAATTACGAATGACTTGAAATTGACCAGAACTGGAGAGAGATAAAATGAGGAATATGGTCATAGGAGGAATCAAAGCTAGAGAGAATAGTAGGATTGAGAATAAAGAAATAACCGACCACCCCTGGCTGTTAACTGCAAATTGCTTGTTAAGGAAAGGGTTTCCCATGCCTGGCTGCCGTTCGTAGCGCCAAACGCACGTGTGCAAACGGCGGACACATTGTCTCTCAAATGTAGGCAGCAGTATATTGTCGTAAACAATTTGGAACTAATTTCGGCTACTCTACCCCGCGAACACCTGGTAAACTGATACCGCTGCCCATACAACTTCCCGAACCAGTATGAGAACGGCGTTTGGGAGACCTAAACTACAGAACAGGGGGAACATTTGTATGCTAGCAGGCAGCCCCTGGAATATGATTCAATAGACCCCTTGCACTGGGAACTGCATAAAAGCCAGCTGTGGCTCAATAAAAACCAGTTGACAGCCAGAACTGTGTTGTCCAGTTACTGGGGGGATTTTGCCTTGGATATTTTATTGCTTCCTCAGCTACAACGATCAATCAGCGGATATACCTATGCTGGGTATTGGGGCAAATGCAGAGGGCGAGATGACGCTGGGGGTGAGGGAATGCTGAGTGTGAGTGAATGCTGGGGGTGAGTGAATGCTGGGGGTGAGGGAATGCTGGGGGTGAGTGAAAGCTGGGGGTGAGTGCAGCTGGGGGTGAGGGAATGCTGGGGTGGAGTGAGCCGGGGTGAGGGGTCGCTAGTGAGTGAAAGCTGGGTGGGGTACCGCTGGGGTGGAGGAATGCTGGGGTGAGTGAATGCTGGGGTGAGTGAATCGCTGGGGGTGAGGGAATGCTGGGGTGAGTGAATGGGGTGAGGGAATGCTGGGGTGAGGGAATGCTGAGTGCGTGAAGTGAATGCTGAGTGTGAGTGAAATGCTAAAGGAGGAATTTGCGGGCGAAACGCCAGCGGCGAATGCTGGAGTGCGGAGCGAATGCTGGGGTGAGTAACGCAGGTGAGCGGTGTTCTGGAGTGTGAGTGAATGCTGGGGTGAGTGGAATGCAGGTGAGTGAATCGCTGGGTGAGTGAATGCTGGGTGAGCAAATGCTGAGTGTGAGTGGAATGCTGGCGGCGAAATGCTGGGGCGGAGTGGAAACGGTAAGCAGGCGAATGCCGTAAAGTGGAAGGAATGCTGGGGAGTGAAGGAGCGGGAGTGAATGCTGGGGGTGAGTGAATGCAGGGGGTGAGTGAATGCTGGGGGTGAGTGAATGCTGGGGGTGAGTGAATGCTGAGTGTGAGTGAATGCAGGGGGTGAGTGAACACTCAGTGTATCAGTCAGGTGTCAGTCTATGACTAGACTCGCGCTATTTACCATGCAGTATCGCGCACCGCTCGCTCGGTAACCCCGGGCTCCTCCCCTTTCCGGGTCACTCTCGGTGAGCGCTGTTTGCGTTTCACGTCACCGCACACTGTGCGTTCCATTTAACTTCCGGGTTTCTAATAACTTCCTGTCTGTGCGTTCCACCTGTATTACTTCCTGTCTGTGCGGTCCACCTGTATTACTTCCGGCCTGTGCGTTCCACCTGTATTACTTCCGGCCTGTGCGTTCCACCTGTATTACTTCCGGTGTGTTCAGTTCCAACTCTGCCTTGTGTGTTTATGAAACAAACAGGAGACATGACGTCATATTTACTGACTGCTCTCCCAAACCACAACTCCCAGCACTCTGAGTCACCTGACAAACCCAGTGTGGGCACCCAGGGCAGGGGAGGGTATCCAGGGCTGGGGTCACACGTTAACCCGCGCACAGATTATATGAGAGTATTCGGGTCTCTCGCATTAACCCACGCACAGATTATATGAGAGTATTCGGGTCACACATTAACCCGCGCACAGATTATATTAGAGTATTCGGGTCTCACGCATTAACCCGCGCACAGATTATATGAGAGTATTCGGGTCTCCCGCATTAACCCACGCACAGATTATATGAGAGTATTCGTGTCTCACGCATTAACCCACGCACAGATTATATGAGAGTATTCGGGTCTCCCACATTAACCCACGCACAGATTATATGAGAGTATTCGGGTCTCATATTAACCCGCGCACAGATTATATGAGAGTATTCGGGTCTCACACATTAACCCACGCACAGATTATATGAGAGTATTCGGGTCTCACACATTAACCCGGGCACAGATTATATGAGAGTATTCGGGTCTCACACATTAACCCACACACAGATTATATGAGAGTATACGGGTCTCACATTAACCCGCGCACAGATTATATGAGAGTATTCGGGTCTCACACATTAACCCACACACAGATTATATGAGAGTATACGGGTGTCACACATTAACCCACGCACAGATTATATGAGAGTATTCGGGTCTCACACATTAACCCACGCACAGATTATATGAGAGTATTCGGGTGTCACACATTAACCCACGCACAGATTATATGAGAGTATTCGGGTGTCACACATTAACCCACGCACAGATTATATGAGAGTATTCGGGTCTCCCACATTAACCCACGCACAGATTATATGAGAGTATTCGTGTCTCACACATTAACCCGCGCACAGATTATATGAGACTATTCGGGTCTCACGCGTTAAACCGCGCACAGATTATATGAGAGTATTCGGGTGTCACACATTAACCCACGCACAGATTATATGAGAGTATTCGGG